TTGCGGAAAGGGAGAACAATGGCAGATTTCCACAGCTGGGGAAGAGTTCCTTGTGCCCAAATAAGATTGAAGAGGTGTAAGAGGACTACAAGGGCTGACTGATGTAAATGTTGCAACATACGAATATGAATGTCGTCAGGTCCAGCTGCCGATGATCGGCAAGCTGTGTGTGTTGCCTCCAGTTCCTGAAGTGTAAAAGGCACATTATACTGTTCTTCTTTGAGAGAAGAAAAGTCCAAGGGTACTAACTCTCTGGCAGACTTTGAGGAAAGAAACGAGGGGCATAGATGGAGCCCCTGGGCAATACGGACCAGATGAGTGCCAATTTCAATGGCAACGTCAAGAGGGTTTGCTACATTATTACCGGCGACCCGTAGAACAGGAGCCGGGTCAGGAGAGTATCTACCACTCAATTTCCTTACTTTTTTCCAGACTACACTCAGAGGAAGCAGAGGTGATGGTGGAAACAGTCTCGCCAGCAAGTGCGTTTAGCATCACGGATGACACGGCGAGCGATCGCAGGCTTCTGCTTAAAATCAAGAAGTCTCTCATTGGTTCTATTGTATCGGTACCTGCCCCATGCAGCGCGTTTCAAACGTACTGCACGAGCACCAGCAGGAGACCACCAAGGCACGCACTTCTGAGAATGCCTGCCTGAGGTTTGGGGTATAGAATGAAAAGCTGCAGTATAAACTGACGTCGAGAAGAGGTGTAGGAGCTCATCAATGGAGGATGAAGAAGGAACCTCACTAAAAGCAGAGAGTTGCGAGTAAAGGTCCCAATTTGCCCGAACAAATTGCCAGCGAGGGCTACGGAAAGGTGGTGAATATGAAGAAGTAAGAATGATTGGAAAATGATCGCTGTCATGTAAGTCCGGTAGAACAGACCAGGTGAAGTCTAGTGCAGTGGAGGAAGAGCAGACTGATAGATCGATGCAAGAGAGAGTATGAGTACGAGGATCAAAATGGGTGGGAGTACACGTATTTAAAACATGGAGGGGGTGAGAGGCGAGAAAAGCCTCCAACTGGATGCCACGTGAGTCACAATGAGACCCCCCCCAGAGGAAATGGTGGACGTTAAAATCACCAAGTAACAGAAATGGTGGTGGTAAGGATGAAACTAGAAAGGCAAAATCTGGGATAGAAAATGCTCGAGAAGGAGAGAGATATAAAGAACATATTGTAAACCACTTATTCAAGTGGATACAGGCTGCAGTGTAATGCAGCCAGGTGTGGACAAATAGTTGACAGTACGGAATATCATTGCGTAGAAGAAGGGCACTTTCATTAAAGGTCCCATCTGAGAGAGGATCCGAAGAATACAATAAATTATAGCCTGATATAGGTTGGAAAGCAGCCGAGTGTAATTTTGGTTCTTGTAAGCAAGCACCAACAGGGAAAAACCTGGAAAGCAACATCTGAAGCTCACCCCGATTACCCCTGAGGCTGCGGATATTCCACTGCAAATAGGCCATGATTGGCAATGAAGAAAATACCAGGAAACCTGTGACAGAACGAACGAGTGTCGCTCCGGTGACAGAACGAACGAGTGTCGCTCCGGTGACAGAACAAGCGAGTGTCGCTCCTGTGACAGAACGAGCGAGTGTCGCTCCTGTGACAGAACGAGCGAGTGTCGCTCCTGTGACAGGACGAGCGAGTGTCGCTCCTGTGACAGGACGAGCGAGTGTCGCTCCTGTGACAGGATGAGCGAGTGTCGCTCCTGTGACAGGATGAGCTAGTGTCGCTCCTGTGACAGGATGAGCAAGTGTCTCTCCTGTGACAGGATGAGCGAGTGTCTCTCCTGTGGCAGGATGAGCGAGTGTCTCTCCTGTGGCAGGATGAGCGAGTGTCTCTCCTGTGGCAGGATGAGCGAGTGTCTCTCCTGTGGCAGGATGAGCGAGTGTCTCTCCTGTGGCAGGATGAGCGAGTGTCTCTCCTGTGACAGGATGAGCCGAGTGTCTCTCCTGTGGCAGATGAAGTCGAGTGTCTCTCCTGTGGCAGGATGAGCGAGTGTCTCTCCTGTGACAGGATGAGCGAGTGTCTCTCCTGTGACAGGATGAGCGAGTGTCTCTCCTGTGGCAGGATGAGCGAGTGTCTCTCCTGTGGCAGGATGAGCGAGTGTCGCTCCTGTGGCAGGATGAGCGAGTGTCGCTCCTGTGGCAGGATGAGCGAGTGTCTCTCCTGTGGCAGGATGAGCGAGTGTCTCTCCTGTGGCAGGATGAGCGAGTGTCTCTCCTGTGGCAGGATGAGCGAGTGTCTCTCCTGTGGCAGGATGAGCGAGTGTCTCTCCTGTGACAGGATGAGCGAGTGTCTCTCCTGTGGCAGGATGAGCGAGTGTCCTCTCCTGTGGCAGGATGAGCGAGTGTCCTCTCCCTGTGGCAGGATGAGCGAGTGTCTCTCCTGTGACAGGATGAGCGAGTGTCTCTCCTGTGGCAGGATGAGCGAGTGTCTCTCCTGTGGCAGGATGAGCGAGTGTCGCTCCTGTGACAGGATGAGCGGGTGTCGCTCCTGTGACAGGATGAGCGAGTGTCGCTCCTGTGGCAGGATGAGCGAGTGTCGCTCCTGTGACAGGATGAGCGGGTGTCGCTCCTGTGACACGATGAGCGAGTGTCGCTCCTGTGACACGATGAGCGAGTGTCGCTCCTGTGGCAGGATGAGCGAGTGTCGCTCCTGTGGCAGGATGAGCGAGTCTCTCTCCTGTGGCAGGATGAGCGAGTCTCTCTCCTGTGGCAGGATGAGCGAGTCTCTCTCCTGTGGCAGGATGAGCGAGTGTCGCTCCTGTGACAGGATGAGCGAGTGTCGCTCCTGTGGCAGGATGAGCGTCTCTCCTGTGACAGGATGAGCGAGTCTCTCTCCTGTGACAGGATGAACGAGTGTCTCTCCTGTGACAGAATGAGAGACTCTCTCCTGTGACAGGATGAGCGAGTGTGTCTCCTGTGGCAGGATGAGCGAGTGTCGCTCCTGTGACAGGATGAGCGAGTGTCGCTCCTGTGGCAGGATGAGCGAGTGTCTCTCCTGTGGCAGGATGAGCGAGTCTCTCCTGTGGCAGGATGAGTCTCTCCTGTGGCAGGATGAGCCTCTCCTGTGGCAGGATGAGCGAGTCTCTCTCCTGTGGCAGGATGAGCGAGTCTCCTGTGGCAGGATGAGCGAGTCTCTCTCCTGTGGCAGGATGAGCGAGTCTCTCTCCTGTAGCAGGATGAGCGAGTGTCTCTCCTGTAGCAGGATGAGCGTCTCTCCTGTGGCAGGATGACCGAGTGTCTCTCCTGTGGCAGGATGAGCGAGTCTCTCTCCTGTGGCAGGATGAGCGAGCGTCTCTCCTGTGGCAGGATGAGCGAGTGTCTCTCCTGTGGCAGGATGAGCGAGTGTCTCTCCTGTGGCAGGATGAGCGAGTGTCTCTCCTGTGGCAGGATGAGCGAATGTATCTCCTGTGGCAGGATGAGCGAGTCTCTCTCCTGTGGCAGGATGAGCGAGTCTTGTCCTCCCTGTGGCAGGATGAGCGAGTCTCTCTCCTGTGGCAGGATGAGCGAGTCTCTCTCCTGTGGCAGGATGAGCGAGTCTCCTGTGGCAGGATGAGCGAGTCTCTCTCCTGTGGCAGGATGAGCGAGTCTCTCTCCTGTAGCAGGATGAGCGAGTGTCTCTCCTGTAGCAGGATGAGCGTCTCTCCTGTGGCAGGATGACCGAGTGTCTCTCCTGTGGCAGGATGAGCGAGTCTCTCTCCTGTGGCAGGATGAGCGAGCGTCTCTCCTGTGGCAGGATGAGCGAGTGTCTCTCCTGTGGCAGGATGAGCGAGTGTCTCTCCTGTGGCAGGATGAGCGAGTGTCTCTCCTGTGGCAGGATGAGCGTCTCTCCTGTGGCGGGATGAGCGAGTGTCTCTCCTGTGGCAGGATGAGCGAGTCTCTCTCCTGTGGCAGGATGAGCGAGTCTCTCTCCTGTAGAAGGATGAGTGAATGTCTCTCCTGTGGCAGGACGAGCGAGTCTCTCTCCTGTGGCAGGATGAGCGAGTGTCTCTCCTGTGGCAGGATGAGCGAGTCTCTCTCCTGTGGCAGGATGAGCGAGTGTCTCTCCTGTAGAAGGATGAGCGAGTGTCTCTCCTGTGGCAGGATGAGCGAGTGTCTCTCCTGTGGCAGGATGAGCGAGTGTCTCTCCTGTGGCAGGATGAGCGAGTGTCTCTCCTGTGGCAGGATGAGCGAGTGTCTCTCCCTGTGGCAGGATGAGCGAGTGTCTCTCCTGTGGCAGGATGAGCGAGTGTCCTCTCCTGTGGCAGGATGAGCGAGTGTCTCTCCTGTGGCAGGATGAGCGAGTGTCTCTCCTGTGGCAGGATGAGCGAGTCTCTCTCCTGTGGCAGGATGAGCGAGTGTCTCTCCTGTGGCAGGATAAGCGAGTCTCTCTCCTGTGGCAGGATGAGCGAGTGTCTCTCCTGTGGCAGATAAGCGACTCTCTCCTGTGGCAGGATGAGCGAGTCTCTCCCCCTTTTGGCAGGATTAGCGAGTCTCTCTCCTGTGGCAGGATGAGCGAGTGTCTCTCCTGTGGCAGGATGAGCGAGTGTCTCTCCTGTGGCAGGATGAGCGAGTGTCTCTCCTGTGGCAGGATGAGCGAGTGCTGGATGACAGTACTGCAACTATGATGACTGGACAGCACTTACCTCTGGTGTACGTGATGAAGGTTCCGGGGCATGATGGAGTCTGTGGTGGTGTCCCAGGCCAGGCTGCTTGATGCTCTGGTCAGGTCAAGGTATATGTGTTACAACTACGTGACAGCAGAACACTTAGAGCAGTGTTGAGTAAGACAAGGCCACATAAGCAACAACTAAACACTTCAAAGGTTGAAGTGCAGGTTGGGCTACCTTCCTTATTATAATATCCGTGGGCAAGTGCTAAACCCGCAGGGGTCACATAGCGTCTCATCAATGAAGTTAATCATGTTTGATCCAAGGAAGCAGAGAATAGCTCGACTTCCTTGGACCAAGAGCCAATCACCATGATGAAGGGAGGCGAGGTGGCCAAGATGTGCAGCAACTTACATTAATACGACACAAGAAGCAACAGTGAACACCAGGATGGTTGGGGTAGACATGTGGGGGTGCAGAGTGAGTGGACGGGTACTCACGGGTGGGCGGGAGACGCACTGCATCTTGGCGTGGATGGAGATCTGTGCCTGGCGTGCTGAGGGCGGCGGGTGGTCTGGCGTGGGCGGCTGCTGGTAGTGGGTGGGGCTCAGGGGCTGCTGCTTCATCTGTGGGCGGTACAGTAGGCCTCGCTCAGCCACGCCCACACCTCCCCCTCTCACGCTCTCTCATTCCTACCAAACCTATTAATCACCTGAACACTGTCACTTGTTGCATGAATACATGCATGGATCTCAGCTTTGTGAATTACTCCTGAAAACTGAAGAAAACCTATTTCACAAGCGTTGAAATGACCATACCAACACCTTTATAAGACGTAAATACATTTCCAACACAACCACAAAATACACTAGGACGACATTCATAAGATAATGCTACAATAAAAACTTATTAATTCCTACTACAATAACATAACCAGATTCTTTTAACTTTATAACTAAACAGGAAACTAAGCTAACCTAAATGGACGTAGAGCCTCCAGACGTATTCAAATACAACTACCACTAGTGGAACAAAATATATCGTCCACACTTTCCAACAGCCCCATAACCATCACAGCCAATAACACACAAACTTAAGTCTTCCATGGAACTCACCACAGTTATTACCCAGCAACACAGTCACACACATGCAACACTCTGAAGAAGTAACACGTTCAACATCTCAGGAACTTGAGCATTATCTCTTGAGATCTGTGATGAAAGCTAGGCGGCACGAGATGCAGCATCAACAGTATACATCACGTGTTGTGTACGTTGCATTGATTATGAAAACCCACCAAGACATAACACAACCCTGATGTACTCCTCAACTAAGTTACTCAAGTCCTCAAACTATTATCATGATTATTATTATTCTTACATACACGGGTGAGTAAAGAAAAACGTAAGGATAGTAGAGTGCTTGGGGAGTGGGAGCAACCAGAGCTGATACAAGGAAAGACAGGGCAGTTCCAATTCTTTCGATCCGTCATTGATGAAAGAATCAAGTCACCCACTTTCAACACCAATCACCACATTCTCTCCAGGTAACTTCTCACGCATCCTCTAATCTTCCAGGACTGGACACCAAGAACCGCAACTTCATTTCTCTCGTCTCTCCCAATTTTTTTTTTCAACAAGTCGGCCGTCTCCCACCGAGGCAGGGTGACCCAAAAAAGAAAGAAAATCCCCAAAAAGAAAATACTTTCATCATTCAACACTTTCACCACACTCGCACATTATCACTGTTTTTGCAGAGGTGCTCAGAATACAACAGTCTAGAAGCATACACATATAAAGATACACAACATATCCCTCCAAACTGCCAATATCCCAAACCCCTCCTTTAAAGTGCAGGCATTGTACTTCCCATTTCCAGGACTCAAGTCCGACTATATGAAAATAACCTGTTTCCCTGAATCCCTTCACTAAATATTACCCTGCTCACACTCCAACAGATCGTCAGGTCCCAAGTACCATTCGTCTCCATTCACTCCTAACACGCTCACGCACGCTTGCTGGAAGTCCAAGCCCCTTGCCCACAAAACCTCCTTTACCCCCTCTCTCCAACCCTTTCGAGGACGACCCCTACCCCGCCTTCCTTTCCCTATAGATTTATATGCTTTCCATGTCATTCTACTTTGATCCATTCTCTCTAAATGACCAAACCACCTCAACAACCCCTCTTCTGCCCTCTGATTAATACTTTTATTAACTCCACACCTTTTCCTAATTTCCACACTCCGAATTTTCTGCATAATATTTACACCACACATTGCCCTAAAACATAAACGTGACACTTTCTTCTGACAAACACTTTAATAAGATCTTCGGGGTGGAAACGCTAGAGACTTTCTTATAAGCAACATTCAACTCAGCAATGAGACATTTAGTTACCTTTCAACAATTAATGTTTAAAAGTTCTCTCTCAAAGCTAAGAAGCTGAGTGCATTTATAGCCACATTGTCGCTCATGTACTAAATAATGCAAGTTTCTTACATAACAGCATCACTGTGCAATAGTGTCACTAGCAATGACTCCAATAACATGCAATAACTGGGAGCATATCGTGCAATAACGTGCTTCATAACATGTGAATAGTGTCAGGGTGCAGGACAAACTTCTCAGTGCTTATAGTAATGTAACCACAACACCCAAACAAAGACGTTAGCAAACAGCTGCAATAAAACCCTTGTGGCTTACGAGTATGACCATTACGATAACAAAAGGCAACCGACTTAACATTTTCAAGTAGAAATAAACACCAAGACTGACAAAATACCAAACCTAACTTCAATAAATAATGAACAAATCATAGTACCAAAATCTACATCATGGTGGCAACGTTATTCTTCGCTGTAACAACAACGTTGTTCCTCGCTGCAACAGCAACTACAATGAAGCTGCAATAACAGGCTGCTGGCTACCATGTGAGGCAACACCTCCCAGAAAAACACACAAAACTTAAGGTTAAATTTTCCACAGTTATATTTCTCTGTTTCCTTTAAGGTGAGGGGGGGGGAGTGGACCTCTCTAGGTTGCCTCTTAGTTTAATGCTTAAAGCAGTATAACAAAATATAATTATTAAATTTTTTTATAGATTTGTTTTTATTTTGCACCCAAACACAGCAACCTAATATATTCTTGTTAAGTTTTACGTTAACTAAAATAATTTAATCTACCTAATGTATCTAAGAATCAGTCTAAGTGAATTTCACTGTTTTTCTTGGTAAGGAGGGAGGGAGGGAAGGGGAGTGGGTGGAAAGAAATTTCTCCGATAACCTGAATAACGTCGCAGGATCCCCCCCCCCCCACAAAAAAATAAAGCTACCTTACGTCTTTTTTTTTAATTTATCAGTCACACACACTAATAACAATAACCTTCACTCCGACAACCTAACTGCAATAAACAATCGCAATAAATCTTAACTAATAAATCTGACAACAGTGACTACAAGACCCGAACTATCATACACACCTCGCTACAATAATGTTCAATGTATCACTAACATTACTACATAAAACGTGGACGATCCTCGACAAGTCATTACAATAACCATTAAACGTAGCGATGACCACAAGGGTGTAATGACCACTAAGAACACCTGCAGCAAGTTACTCCTCCATGTTATAGTAAATAATAATGTAACTAATAAAACAATACTGCAATAAATATCTTCCAGTGTAATTGCTAATTTAAAAAGTTCTGGTAAGACAATGATGCGAGGCAGAGAATATTAAAAATATAAAGGATTAAAAAGCCAAAACCGAATCCTAAGTGTTCCACAGCTTCACTAGAAGAAAGAGGATTGTAAAGGACAAAGGAATATGACTAAAGAAGGAAGGTGTGGCACTGCAGGAGGATCATGTAGATGTAATGAGCGTAATAAAAGATTAAGGAAGACCTTTAAAGAAGAAACCGAGGAGCTACTTGAAAGCAATAGAAGAAACCAGCAGGAACTAGAGAACATCCACACCAAAAAAGAACCAAGTTAGGCAGCTACACATAACTTAAACAAAATAATATTAACTTCAGTTCTACGCGCTCAGAGTATTATAAACTAATATTAATTTCCGTCCTACATTCTCGCAGTAACTTTACTATTACTCCCACAAGCATAAAAACCATCTTAAGTTCCAATTCCAACTTCTCATATAACGTAGTTGTAAGCTATATCTATAAAATAAAGTTTCTCATTAAGCCAAGAAAAGTAACAGGCGTAAGTTCATTGTAATATCCCACAAAGACCACACAGGAAGTAAGTTGTACAATTTACTTATCGCCTGGACCTATGAGGTCATTCAGCACTCTTAATTTAAAGGTATACAATCATACCCATATTAATTCGAGCAAAAACTATCCTTAAAAAGAAAATCACAATAACAAGCGCAATTGAAAAAACAAATACTATCACAAAAAAATGAACCAACATAAATTAAAATATATTTAATGGTTAACATCAAGAGACCCTCTTCCCACTTCCCTAAAAAATTGACCCGAGATCCCTTGAAGTCCTTTGGTAATTATGAAACCGCGACTTGGGAAAAAGAAAACGACGTGGGCAAGTAAAATGTGTTCCATAGTCAGCAACACGACACAAGTCACACAAACAAAGGTATGAGTACCTGAAAGCGACTATAGACGAGGTGTATTGTCCTATCCTCTATATCTTATATTGATGAT